AAAAAAAAGACCAAAAGATAATCCTTTCCAAAGTGAAATATTTAGTTATTTATATCCAGCTACTTACCTCTCGTTTCAGAATGGTACCGTCACCCTACACATGTAGGTTGCTTTTTCTTCTGCCTTTTAAGTTATGAAGAGGTAAGCTTTAAGGTTAATGATTGGTTTTAACACAAACACCACTTTTTACTTTTTCTTACTCAGTTTAAGTGTCTTTAGGCTTGTGGGATTGTTAGAGTAGGTGGTTAGTTAGGTTCTAACAGGATCCCAGGAGTCCAGCACTGAGGAAGTCATGGCCAGCTACTGGAAAAGTCAGAGGCCCCTCCTGGCAGCACTCCACAAGAAGCCAGATCTAACCAGACGAGCCCAAGATGGTGGATGCCATGACAGGGAACCCCTGACCAAATTAGGAAGAAAAACTGTGAAACACTGCTTCCCACCCCAAGTAATAAATATTTTGCCTCTTGGTTAATAACGGTCACTAAAAGATAGAAACCGAAACCCCCATGGCACGCATTGCTCTTGCTATCATTCTTGCTCTCATATCGCCACAGGGTACTTTTCACTTTAATAAACTCTCCCGCTTCTGTTACTCATCCGCTGTGCTGCCTGTCTGTCTTTGAATTCCTTCTCGTGACAAGACCGAGAACCTTGTGTAACTCCTTCAGTTCTGGCTGGGTCATTGGCTCAGGAACCAGGGTCTCTCCCATTCACCCAGCAACAAGATGGCCTTAGTCTTAAAGGAAAAGTAGGAGTATAAAACAATGACATTTAGTGTTTCCCATTCTCCCCCAAGAAAAATCTCAAAAACCCACTTCTCCCAAGAAAAACCCGACAGTTTTAGAGTTGTAACTGGAGATTAAATTGAGAGAAGGTGGCATGTGGAGACTAAATAATGAAGGATTAGATGAACCATCTGTTTTACAGAGCAACTCTGAGGTTGGTTTGATTAGCATCTTTCGTTTCAAGTTCTTGCTTCCAATTCTGATTCTAACCAGCAATATTTTACTATTTTAAACCTGTGGAGCTCTTTGTTATTGCTGTTGTAATTGCTATATTAATAGGCAGCTAAGGTTGAAACGGTGACTATAATGGACTTCTTTATAGTAGAGCAAACATGTTATTGTGTGGTACTGAATGGAAGCATAACCTATGAATGCCACCAAGCCGTCATTCTGTGGATGACAGGCCCTGGTAATGTAACAAGCAACAACTAAGGAAATGCTTTCTAAAATCCAACCATGACGAAAGTGCTTAGCTATTTTTCATGCCTAACTAATTCCACGTGTGGAGCCTTTACCAAGCAAGGGTAGGAAGTAGATGTTGGTAGAGGAGTGACACCATATGCTGAGAGAGAAGAATTACAAGGCTTGAATTCTCACTTCTCTAGTTAATAAGTTCAGAGGTAATTTTATATAGTATTTACATTTCTGCTTGTGGGGAGAAAAAGCCTTCCAATTTCCACAGGTAAATATGGGCTATATATCATGCTCTATAGCTTTTTAAGAACTCTGAAGGGTTTGAAACTTTACCCTATTTGCCTACTACAGTCCCATGAATGCTAGTAGAAGCCAGCAAACTACTAGGTCAGAGGTAAAGGGTAATTTATTACTTACAGCTGTAGCAGCGGTGTATCAGCATTTTTGTGTCAGTTCACTGAGCCCTAATTCCCACAGCATGATGCGAAGAAGGCCAAATGACATCTGCATACACGCTGGGTTACATTACAGGAAAAAAATAGTGAGCTTAGGAAACCCAAATCTTTACTAATGGGTGGTAAGAATGTCTGCCCTTTAAGCAAAGCTCAAAGGGAGACCGTTTTTTTTCTTTCTAAAGGTTTTCATTTATTAGGAGAGCGAAAGAGAGTGAGAGCATGAGTAGGGTGAGGGGCAAAGGGAGAGAAGCAGACTCCTCATTGAGCAGGGAGCCCGATGTGGGACTCAATCCTGTGACTCTGGGATCATGACCTGAGCCAATGCCAGATGCTTAACCACGGAGCTGCCCAGGAGACTGACTTCTAAGGCTCTAAGCAAACCTGCCCTTTGCTCTAGAAGTGCACACTATCTGTATTGTCCAAGGTTGTTTCCTACCCAAAGGAACAAGGGCAGAGAGTATCCCCCTTAAAAGATAAGCAGAAACATGGCCAACTGTCTTCCAACATGGCAAAGTATAACTTTAATGATTTTTTTTTATTAACTAGCATTCCTCTGCAATATCAAAGTTACAAGTAAACTGCAAGATACCATGTAATTTCATAAAGACTGCACATTATTTTTTGCTGTGTAGCATTACCAAAAACCTAGTGGTAATAGATGTTTATTATCTTGGTTTTTATAGTTAGGAATCTAGGCATGGCTTAAGTAGCTCCTCCAGGGTCTCAGACTGCAATGAAGATATTGGGTGAGACTGTGATCTTATCTAAGGTTCTAATGAGGAAGGATATGCTTTTAATCTCACTCAGGTTTTTGGCAGAGTTCAGTTTCTGGAGTGGCAGGATTGAAGGTTTTGGTTTCTTGCTGTGGGTTGGAGGTTGCCCTCAGTTTCAAGAGGCCCCATTCCTTGTTATGTGGGATTCCCCAACATGGCCACTTGCTTCCTTCAAGCAAGGGAGAGAGTAAGCAACTCCAGTAAAATGGATTGTACTGTCTACATAAGACAATCACATAGTCACATATATATCATCACATTTGACGTATTCTATTGCTTAATGTCTTCCAGTGTATTTATGGAAGAGGCTGGTTGTTGGCTACTGAAGATAATTTATGTGATTCAGTGAGGAGAAGTCTTTCTAAGGGGGGGATATTTTAGCTGAGAATTCAAATGATGAGGAGTCAGCAGTGAGATGGGCGACAGGGATGAGGAACATTCTGGGAAGAAGGGACAGAAAATGGGAAATGTAGCTATGCCCACAGACAGAAAAATATTATTATACCATTAAACATTGTATTTTGTTTCTGTGTCTGTTTTCTCCATCATTCAGTAAACTGTACAAATTATCTCAGAATCTTCAACACCTATTTTATAGTAGGTAGTAAATTTGTTTAATAAATGGATGGATTTTTCATTTATGAATCATTTTATTAAGTTTTCATTTATCAGGAACTGCAGAGATACAAAATAATCATGTGAAGGCCTGCATCCACAATGAACTCACAGTTGTGCAGAGCAGAGTTGCAAATAATTACTAATTCAAGGTGGTCCATGCTATTGGCACTACTATAGTTTTGGAAGAAAGAATGAAGCCTCACTCTTTTGGGGGGATTTGAGAAAACTACATGAAGTTAGCACTGATTCTTCAAGGATACCTAAATTAGTTGGGGTGCATAAATAAGAAAAGGCATATTAGGCAAAGGAATCAGCTTGAGCAGGGCTTGGGAGTGACAAAGCTTATGGCTGGTTTGTAAAACCCCCAAGAAGTTTAGGAGTAAACAAAACCAGGAGTATGTGTGGAAAGAAGGATAGTAGGCCTGTAGACTTATTCGTTGTGTCAATGGATCACATCAAAAGGACAAAGAAGTCAACTCTAAGGTGTGCCACTAGCCTAACAGAATTTGAGTATCATAAATAATAACAATGGATTAAAACACATCAGATACGTAAAATGTATGCATTCCTAGTGATACCAACCAAACAAAATCTTACTGGTTAATATTGGAGGTTGCTAAGGCACCAACTAATTTTTCTGAAATTTTACAATTAAAGGGAAAAACCACAGCATTTATGCAGTGTTTCTTCTAGGATCCCTCTATTTCAGGAAAACCAATGAGTTGGTGAAAAAAAAATTTTTTTTTTAAAAGATTCTTATTTGAGAGAGAGATGGCAAGAGAGAGAATAAGCAGGGTGGTTAGGGACAGAGGGAGAGGCAGACTCCCCATGTGGGGCTCCATCCTGGACTCCAAGATAATGACCTGAGCTGAAGGCAGGAAGACCTACTGAGCCACCCAGGTGCCCTAGAAAGTATTTTTTGTTTTGTTTTGTTTTTTAATAGAAGAATCCCACATAATAAAATCATTGAAAGTGTTAAAAATCTACTGTTATAAGACTTAAGAACTATACCAAAATGCAATGTGAAGATTTTTTTTTTTTTTTTTTGATAGGAAAAAAAACATTAAATGACATTTTGGCTTTAACCAGGTTAATTTGAATATGCAGTGAGTATTAGATGACATGAAGGAATTACTAATTTTGTTAGATGTGAAATTAGGTGGTGAAGTTAAAAAATCCGTATCAGTTTGAGATGCACATTAATTTAAGGGTAAATTAATGTCTGGGATTTGTTTCAAAATACTCAAGCATAGAGTTGGGGAAGGGATGAAATTAGATTGGCAAAATGTTAAGTGTTGATTCTTGGTGATGGGTACATGAGGGTTATTAAAAGTGGATTCACTTTTGCCTGTTTAAAATTTTCTTTAATAGTTTTAAAAAGCAGAACAAGCCCCGCCGAAAGGGGATGTCTGAAATGAAAGACCCCGACTATTCTAGAAGGTTCTAAGATTTCACAGGGATTTCCGAAAGTTGTGAACTGTAATTCCCAAATCGCTGCTGGATTTGAGCGTTGGACTCCGGCTCTCGGGGACCAAACCCAGCGTAGGTGGTCGAGGGCTCACGTCAGTTTTGGGAGTGCTATGGGAAGGTAAGACGTCTTTCCCCAGCCCGGCGGCCTCCTCGCCTCAAGAGTGCCCTCTTTTCAACTTCCTCCAAGCCCCACGTGCCCTTCACTCCCCTACGCCTTTGGGTGCTTCTCTTTTCCCCGCCCCCAACCTTCCTCTCCAGCGCCTAGCCCCACCCATCCCTTTTTCCGACACTACCTGTCCTCTCCCACGCCAGGCCCACCCCTTCCGTTTCAAGGCCCGCCCACGTATTCGCCCCGCCCTCCCTCTCATGCTCCTCGCCCCGCCCCTTATCTGGACGCTGAGGAGGAGGTTACCATAGCCACCGTGCACACAGCAGCAACGCGTCCCTAGTTGGTCCCGGGTTGGCCGGAGGGAAGAGGCGACACCATGAGCCATGTGGTGACTATCGAGGAGCCCCAGGCAAACCTGCAGGTGTCTCAGACCCGGGGCGGGGTGAGGTCGAGGGCCTGGGGCAACGTCTCTACCAGTCGACAGTATGATTTTCTGTACGGTAAGGGTGGCACCAGACTTCCCTCCTGAGTTACTGATTCCTGGGCTAGGTGGGCTTCGGGACGGTGGGACAGGGCCAGGAGCCCGGTGAGCGAGCGGAAGATGAGCCTCAGGTCAGATGCCTTGTCCGCGGTTATCCTTTGATGGGTGGGAGCAGCTCCGAGCTCCCAGGTGGCGGTGCTCTCCGTGCGCGTTGGGAGCCTCAGGTGTGATCAGCGTGTCTGAACACCGCGCCGGATCATCCGCCTTTACTGTTCGCCACGATCTTTTCCTGATAATTTGCACAGCCTTAAGCAATCTTTCTAAAACCTGTTCCCGCTGTTTTGTTATCCAGAAAAGTATGCAGTGATTTGCAGAGTTGGAGATTCACTCAAATCCCCACGGTGAAACTGCAAAAATGACCTTCCCGCTCCCATTCTCCGGGCAACTCAAAATTTGGCTTTGTATATAAAGAAGTAGCAGTTTATCTCACCTTTGTTTTTAGTTTTATCTTTTTAAAAAAACTTATTGTTACTCATCAAAGCATTGCTTATAAACTATGTCCGCTGGATTCCTTTGGGTCAGTAAAGGCAGGCCCAGTTTGTTTCAGTACTATGCTTGTCCGTTAATGTTCTGTTTCTTTTACTGTATCTTTAAGTTCCTTGAGTTCTTTAGGTACTTGTTTTATACAGTTTTGCAGGCTTCTCATCATCAGTGTTGGTACATATGCGAGCTGCTTCACAAAAAACCTTACTGAATTTTGAATTTACTAGTATAAGAATTTTAATCAGTTAAACATGATTTTTCTAATTTTGCCCTCATTGATCCCATGCGCTTCACCTGAACCTTGCATTGCCTTTAACCATGTGGTAGCTCCTCTAGGATTCCCAGGATCATCTTTGGATGGATATCCAGAGGTTACCCATTTCCTGGTATAGGGACTGTGTAATGGGTTGCTTGGGTATTATGGGCAGTGGTTTTCTTTATTCACTCTTGGTTTCATCTTGTAAAAATAAGTCTGGTAAACTGTAAAAACATCACGTTGGTTTCAAAGGTAATTTGGAAATTGGATAGGCCTCTTCAGTAAAGACAGGCAAAGAATTTATCAAGCTTCTTGTCTCTTTTATCCTTAAAATTATTGCTTTCTCTCTCTCTCTTTCGCTCTTGCAGAGGGATTGCTAAATGTTTCCATGTTCCTTGCAAGGAACAGAAACCCACTCAAAACAGGCCAAATAAAGTTTGGATTGTTCCAATAAAACAGGGAGTCTCACAACTATTAATGGACTGGAAGCATAGTATAGCTAGGACAAAGTAGAACCAAGACAGGGAAGGTCAGAACTAAGTTGTGGTGCCCTTCTGCCTGATTTCTTGGACCTTACAGTTTTTTACCTTGTTTAGGTTGTCAGATTTAGCAAGAAAAAGTACAGGATGCACAGTTAAATTTGAATTTGAAATAAGTAATGAATAATATTTTAATATAAATTTTTAGCCCCATGCAATATTTGGGATCTATTTATATGAAAAGTTACTCATTGCCTATATGAAATTTAACGGCGCATCCTGTATTTTAGCTATCAACTCTAACTTTTACTTTTTTCTGTGTGTATGTTTCCTTCTTCCATCTGACAGGAAGCCACTTCTTTATGGATTTCTCTTACTGTGATAGGGACTGGGGTGGCAGTCTACATGACCTCTTATCCTAAAGCTCATCACCAATTATATAGAGACCTCATGTGTCTTAGCTGAAAATTGAAGAGAGAAATAAGATAGATTGTTGACAAGCCGGTGAATTGACTCACTTGGGTCTGATTTCCACCCTGACAGAACTGCGCTAGTGTTGGTGTGGTGGTCAGTGGTATACATGTGAATACCTTTCCAGCTTTTTCACGTCCCCACCCCTCAAACCCAATGGCCTTTTCATCATAGTTAATTGTCTGCAAGGCTTTTGCTCCTCTAAGAAGCTTTGGGTGCCTTCATTAAAGGTAATATTTACTCTTCTGATCACTCTAGCAATTAAGATTGATTCAGATACCTTCCATTTTTTTGTATTTTAGAGTTAACATCATTTTCTTAGTAGATTTTACCTCATTTATATACCATTTTGCATTTAACTCAGTTTTTTGGTAAATGCTTTGTGTCTCTCAAGTGCCTCTTGAAGTGACCAGTGTACATTGTCACTTTACTGAATCTGTACATTATTAGTAGTTTGACTACTGTCCTGATAATGAAAGCCTTTTAACTGTATGATACAGTTTTTCTAGCTTCCAAAAATGTTTTAAAATGCTTTCTAGATATATCATAAGCTCTTTCCTCCTTTCTTTTTTCCCCCAGAATATGCAATTTAGTATACTTTTGCCTAAAAGTAATCCTTCTGTCTTGGGGTTTTACACACTTCTTCTCTCTCATGATTACTTGGTTGTGACAACTTCCTAGGCTTGCCAGAACAGTTTCTACAGTATGGTTAAATTGGCTGAGGGGCTTTCCCATGGTTTCTGTGGGAAACTTCCGCCCATAAAATTCATGGGGTTTCAATAATATTAGGCCTGGGAGCCAGAAGGATTAGAGTTGAAATTCTAACTGTCAGTAAGTGGCTAACTTCTTGAAGCCTCAGTTTCCTCCCCTATAAAAAGGAGGCCTAGTGCCTACCTCATTGGCTTTTTGCAAGGATTAAATGGAGTATTGCACCTAAAGCACTTAATACCTGTCCAGGAATAAGCAAGTGATACCTGGTGAGTGCTATTACCTGGGCATCTCAGAGGTCTTTCTATTGCCTTTTGAGCACTGATTATGATCACAGTTGTGGGGTATGTTGCAGAATGTAGCCATAAATCCTACAGTATTATGCCATTATCTTCTATGGATGGCAGGAATGTTTCTATAGATCACATGTCTTTGTACTCCTTATGGGTAGAAGAGGAGAATGGTTTATAATTTATTATTCAGATTTAGGAGAAATGCAGCCTAAACTCATTTAAAATGAACTACACAGGTGGAACCAAAGACCCAGTGACATCTTTTAAATCACTTAGAGTATGAATAGAAATTTCCTTTTGGGGGCACCTGGGCGCCTCAGTCAGTTAAGTGTCTTCCTGCTGTTCCCCCTGCTTATGCTTTCTCTCTCTGTGTCAAATAAATAAATAAATAAATCTTTTTAAAAATTTCCCTTTGTCCCATACTATTCCTAATATATCAGATTTGTTGAAGCTATAGCCTTTTCCCCTTTAAACAGGTGCATTCATTCAACCTTCAGATTCACCAGCCTGTAATTTGGGGCCATAAAATCTGGCCTTGTCATTCCTAATCAGCCCAGTTTTCATCACTTCTCAACTTGAATCATAGGTGTGGATTTGGGTGCTGCAGTTGAAGAAGAGTATATCTAAGGGTGATGGTTCCCAAATTCATATTACTGGTCCAGACTTCTCTCCCAAACTCTAGATTCTTATATCAAATTGCCTGCTTCATTTCTCCACTTGGACGTATAATAGATGCCTAAGGCATGCTTTTCATGTTCTCCCTACAAACCTGCTCCATCACAGGCTTTCCTGTGTCAATTGATAGCAGTCCCATACTTTATTTTTGTATTATTATTTTTTAATTATGTTATGTTAGTCACCATACAGTACATCATTAGTTTTTGATGTAGTGTTCCATGATTCATTGTTTGCATATAATACCCAGTTCTCCATGCAATACGTGCCCCGCTTAATACCCCATCACTGGGCCAACCCATCCTTCCCCCACCCTGCCATCCAAAACCTTCAGTTTGTTTCCCAGAGTCCATAGTCTCTCATAGTTCATCTCCCCTTCTGGTTTCCCACCCTTTACTTTTCCCTTCCTTCTCCTAATGTCCTCCATGCTATTCCTTATGTTCCACAAATAAGTGAAACCATATGATAATTGACTTTCTCTGCTTGACTTATTTCACTTAGCATAATCTCCTCCAGTTCCATCCATCCAGCCCAATACATTGCTAAGTCTAAAAATCTTGGAGCCATCATTGTCTCATCTCTCTCTCTCTCTGACACACACCATTCCAATCCACTAATAAGTCCTCTCTGTCCAACCTTAAAAATATATCTAGAATCCTGCCCCATTTCATAAGTTCTCTTGCCATCAACATCATCTTTTCTCTAGGCTCACTGCATGAGCCTCCTAATAGGTCTCCCTGTCTTTTCCATTGTTTCCATGCTGTCTATTCTTCACTGGGCAGCCACAATGAACATTTTATTATTTTTTTAAAGATTTTATTTATTTATTTTAGAGAGAGAGCATATGAGTTAAGTGGGGAGAGGTATACAGAGGTAGAGGAGGAGAGTAGAGGGAAAGGGAGAGAATCCCAAGCAAACTCCACACTGAGTACAGAGCCCTATGTGGGGCTCAATTCCGCAACCCCAAGATCATGACCTGAGCTTAAACTTAACCAACTGGGCCACCCAGGAGCCCCTACAATGAACATTTTAAAATGTAAGTCAGATTTTGTCACATCTTGTTTCAAAATCTTACAATGGTTTCCCACCTAACTCAGATTAAAAGCCAAAGTCTTTTCAGTGGTCCACAGAGCCCCATGTGATCTAGGCCCCTGATAACTTGCCTGACCTTTTATCTACCCTATTTTGCCTCTCTCACTCTGTTTCAATTCTGTTGGTTTCTGCTGTTCTTCAAACACATCAGGCATCCTGCCATCCTAGGGCCTTTGCTGTTTCCTCTGCTTCAAATGCTCTTCAGATAACTCTGTAGTTAACTTCCCACTTGCAAGTCTCCTTAAATGTCACCCTTTGGGGGTGCCTGATGTGGCTCAGTGAGGTTAAGCATCTTCCTTTGGCTCAGGTCATGATTCCTGGGTCCTGGGATTGAGTCCCACATTGGGCTTCCTGCTCAGCGGGGAGCCTGCTTCTCCCTCTGCCTCTGCCGCTCTCCCTGCTTGTTCTCTCCCTCTCTCTCTCTCTCTGTCAAATAAATAAATAAACAAACAAATAAATAAATAAAATCATTAAAGAAAAAAAAGAAGTCATCCCTCAATGAGGCCTGGTCTGCCCTGACTATTCTGTGTAAAATTGCAACCCAATCTCCCTTACCTGCTCTTTCCCCGCTTTTTTAGTAGCACTTAACTGTCCTCTAACATATTATATAATATGCCAATTTGTTGTGTTGTTTATTGTCTCTCATGAAGTCAGGGATCTTTATCTTTTTCTTGATATGTTCCAGGCACCTTGAACATAGTAACCTGTCCATAAATCTTTCTTGAATGAAAGAGAGCTGAGCCTCTTGTAGTTTTTCAACCTTGGGGAGAATATTAAATGTCTGCATCCAATATATCATTTTTGTTTGGTAACTGAGGAGTTATTAGACTCTAGGAATTGACTCACGTTGTCTAAATTAAATTCAATTTAAATTACTTATAAATCACAATAACAATTATTAATTCCTGTGAAGAAATATGTTGCCAAGTCATATAGACTAGTTGGCCAGGGTATTTGTTTCTCAAGAGATACCTACTTGGGAAATCAAACCTCTATCTGAAGGTTGCTTATGAATTTAATGTCATGTTATTTCATTTTAAGAAATGGTATAATAAATCATAAATATTATTCATTGCTTTAAAGATATACCTAACAAGCCCATACTTAAAATAACAGGGCAACCTTTTGTTAAACTTTGGAGAAAAAACTTTGTCCCATCATCAACATCCTTCTAAATTTAAGGAGTGAATTATAGCTGATTTTATTTATTTATTATTAGAGAACGACATTTTCTTATTATGTTTATCAATTCTGAGGTGACATGTTGTTAAGAGTTTGTATCTTTCCCTTGTACTGAATATGGGAGGTAGTGCTGCAGTGTGTTATTTATTTCACTTGCAAAGGGGCGTAGTTAGTGTATATATCTTAGAGTATTTCTTGGGCCACCTAGACCCAGAAAGTGGTCTGGGTAAGAGAAAGCGGTCTGAGAGAAAAGGCGGCATGTTTAGGCTCTGGTGCTTGAGAACATATCAGGCCTGCTTTTTGCTTTCTAATTCTATAACCTGACTTTGGAATACACAGAGGAGAAATGCATCTAAAAGACTCTCACTGGTGACAGAGTAACAGGGCAATGAGCTGCTGTAGAGTTAGGCAATATCTAAATCTTGTAATTAGTTTTCCAATTAAGAAATTACTTTTTTTTGCTATTATTCTCAGTCTAGATATATTCCATTCCTTATACCACCTTATTGTTTATTTTGCAGATCCATTGTTTATTGTGTCGAGTGAGAAAGACCATACACAGGCAACTATCCAAGCTAATCTGATTCGAAACAGACTGGTAGGTCTAATTCAATGACTAAGGCCACCTAATGAACTTGAACCATCTAGTTTTGCTAACCACACTAATCAGACTGACTAATCATGAGATTTCCAGTGGATTTTATATTCTGCAGAAATCACTCTGCTATGATTACTAGGGGATAAGACATCTTGATACTTATGGCCCACTGTGAAGATTAATTAATTAATAGTGAATAAAGGACTCATTATAACCTAATTTATTTCAGTGGGAAAAGTTTATGTGCCTGTGTTAAAAGAATTCAAGTAGTACAGAAACATATATAGTATGAAATAAATTTTAACCCTCATCCCCATTCTTATAATCATCCATTGCCATCAGTTTCTTGGGTATCTTTCTAGAGATATTCTATTCATATACAATTACCCTTCTTTCTATGTGACATACACTGTTTTTGCACCTTTCAAAATTTATAATAATAAATAAGATGCTTTAGAAAATCTGATGGTGGGGCACCTGGGTGGCTCAGTGGGTTAAAGCCTCTGCCTTCAGCTCAGGTCATGGTCTCAGGGTCCTGGGATCGAGCCCCACATTGGGCTCTCTGCTCAGTGTGGAGCCTGCTTCCCCCCTCTCTCTGTGCCTGCCTCTCTGCCTACTTGTGATCTCTGTCTGTCAAATAAAAGAAATTTTTAAGAAATCTGATGGTAAGATTTTGTCCTTTTCCTCCCTATCTGCCTGTCCTAATATTAGAGAAAAGTTCCCAGGTTTAGAACCATGTTCAGTAACCTGATCCATTATCCAAGATATTCTCTGTATTGGAGCAAGGCAGACCCTGTCCCACCATTCATCCGCCGGGAATGGAAAGGACAGGAGGAGAAACACACAGAAGCCCTCAGGCAGCTTACCACGTAAGTGTCAGGTAGCTTTGGCTGCTAATCATGTTTTTAATGAATGCGTTTTTCTTCTTAAGAATTTTTATTCTGCATTTTTTAAAACTACAATTGTGATGTTACACCCAGGTCAATTGACCAAAAGAGACCTGATTCAGGGGCAAAGTTATGGGATTATAGTTAGTAGATATTCTCAGAAGCTTGGAGTGAATATATATATTAAATGACAATTTGCCACCGAAGGTAGAGGTAGAGGTGACTGAATTTGTTTCTTTGATCCATCTTAGAAATTGCAACTATACCCTTCTGCTAGTATCTCCAAATATATATATTTATTTGGAGATTTGCAGCCAAAGCACCTTCAGAGACAAGTCTCTTGAATTCTTTATTCTTTTAATTATTTACAAATCATGCCTAGTAAGTTTAAAAAGCTACCTTTCAGCCTGGACATAAAAAGTTTCTCTTAGGGGCGCCTGGGTGGCTCAGTGGGTTAAAGCCTCTGCCTTCAGCTCAGGTCATGATCTCAGGGTCCTGGGATCGAGCCCCGCATCAGGCTCTCTGCTCGGCGGGAAGCCTGCTTCCTCCTCTCTCTCTCTGTCTGCCTCTCTGTCTACTTGTGATTTCTGTCAAATAAATAAATACAATCTTTAAAAAAAAAAGTTTCTTAAAACTCTGTTATCCTATACACTATTAATTAAAAGTGTGCATTTTTGTATGTGAGATTTCATAAACCTACTTTTTTCTTACTCTTCCTCCTTTTAGCTCCTGGTTTCCTGGCTTAGGGAAAGTAATTATTATGTAGTCTGAGATGTAGGTCAGTCAGATGCATGTTATAGATGACTTTGCTCTCAGTCTCAGATACTCTGTGCATCTCCTACTTTATAGACATAAAAATATGAAATAGAAATTATATTTGAAAATGATATGTTAGACTTTTATAATGTTTTTCTGCTTCATTTTAGAACTGGTGAGTCTTTTCAGATGACTAAAGAGGCTTATGAAGATCCTGAAGTTACTGGAAGGAATCGCTACAAATATTTTGAAAGGTAAAAAGTAATTACTAATGAAAATGAGCCCTGATATTATTAGAAAATGTCTTTTATGATAATATTAGCAGCTATCAGTTTTGAGTGCATGCAGTGTGTCAGGTACCAGTTTAAGTGCTTTATATCTATAATCATTTTTTTTTAGATTGTATTTTTAAGTAATCTCTATACCCAACGAGGGGCTCTAGCTCACAACCCCAAGATCAGTAGTTGCATGCTCTACCAAGTGAGCGGGGCAGGCACTCTATATAATCAATTTTTATAACAGAATTGTAGGATAAGATATATTACCCCTCTTTATCAATAAGGAAGCTGAGACCAAGAGAGGAAAAATAAATTGCTTGAAGTCTCTTAAGTTAGCAAGTGGCAGATCTGGGATTCCAGCTAAATCTGCCTAACATCAGAGGTACTAGCTGTAAGTAAGAATGTAAATTTGAGAACAAAATGAAGTCATCAAATCAAATGAGAAATAGCAGATTCATCATGACAGTCATAGTACATGGGAAATTGTTATAAGTGGACAAATAGGCGACATTCACTGTCTTTGTGTGAGTGTTGTCAAAACCAACATGGTCGAAAATTTCACTTTGTTTCATTTGTGATCAATATTCATGTGATAATCCTGTAGTTGGGTTAAAATAAAATGAGGATCTCTCTATAGGTCTTATGTGGTTAGAAAAACAGTCTTGATGCCATATGTGACATAAGCTTTCTTGAGAACGTAAATTTGTTACCCACATTGTTATTTGTGAGCAACCTCTTTAGAGAAGTTTTATAACGCTGACTTTTTAGAGAAGTGTTAAATTTTCAACATAGTACACTCAATTCCTAGACTTTCTGGGGGTAGTTTTTAAAACTAAGTCATTACAAATTTTGCAATGTCTCAGGGAACTGGAGAAGTTGCTGGGAGCGGACGACCAGCTGAAGCCCAGGTATAAGGCATTGCTTCTGAAACTGTGGCTTGTTTACCACCTGCAGGGAAAACACTGGAATGTTTATTACAAATGCAGATTCATTAGCTCTATCTTAAATCTGCTGGATCTCCTGGGCTAGACTTGGTAATTAGCATTTTAAACAAAATCTCCCCCACTCTCCAGTGATTTTGTGTTTGTCCAGGTTTGAGGATTACCAATACAGGATATTCAAGCTCACTGATTTTAAGGGACTAATATGAGAGTTGGAATAAAGCCCAGAGAGCACACAATGAAAAAGTCCCACATGTTTTCGTTTGTCTTTCTCCACCAGACCTTTCCTTCCATTTCAACAGATGCCATTCAACGTTGTTTTTGCAGCAACCAAGTAAGTAACTGTTATTTTACAACTTTTTTTCTAGTTTATTTTTTGTTTGTTCCCATATTTGTTTCCAGAAGATAGTTCTCTAAATCAACATTTTTCAAATTCCAGATCACAAATCATTAGAAAGTCATGACATATTTTAGTGGGTCATGAATAGCATTTTAGAAAATGAAATAGAAAATAACCAAAAGCATCAGATACATTGAGGGTAAATTGCCTTTCTGCTAATAATTTCTGTTTGGATAGATATATACATATGTTCGTATGTAATGATTATGATGTAAAATGTATTTCTTATTACACATTTTGGTAAAAATAAAAGTTAAAAAATGCTTTAAATATCCTCTTTGCTTCCCTGAAGCACACACTTATTTCGCAACAGCTTTTCAGCATTTTATCAAGAAAAGTAATCAGTTATGAAATAGTTTTTGAGTACTGGAACTTCATAATTTAATAATCATCTAATCTACACAAGGTTATTTAATATACAAAGATCAACAAAACATGGTTTTTGTCCCACAGAGGAATGGCCCAAGGTGACAGAGAAGTAAAAGACAAGGGCCAAAGCTGGGATGAATGTGCAGTTCTCCAGTATTGTTTTAGGGCTGTACTGTTTTGCTCTACTGTTTCCTGCGTCAGTATAACTTAATGTGTGTATAAGAGAAATAATTGAAATTATCAGGAAAAGAAACCTTTCTTAAAGTCTCAGATTTCTGAACAGAAATTTAGATAGGGCTTGGCTTTCAAACAAGTATTTAAAGGATACCCTAATGATATAGCATTTTATGAATAGATGTTATCAAATGCCTGTAATCCTCAAGATAAGTGCCAGTTATGATCCCAATTCTCTGAGTATTTATTTATTTTTAAAGATTATTTATTTATTAGGGAGTGCATGAGTAGGGGGGGCAGTTTGCAGACTCCCCACTGAGCAGGGAGCCTGACACAGAGCTTGATCCCAAGATCACGATCTGAACCAAAGGTAGATGCTTAACTGACTGAGCCACCCAGGTGCCCCTCTCCTCTGATTTTTTAAGACTATGCATGGATACTTTTGGCTCTTACACAGATGGAGAATAGATTTCTTGCTCTCCCCCTAGAGAGAGCAACTTTGTGTGGTGTCAGTTTACTTGGGGACGGCTACAGACTTGTTTCCAGGGAAATGCTCTGTATGAGAAAGGGGGAATACATGAGATTGGGAGATCCCTATAGATATCTTTGATGATTCTTTAAAAGCAGGCTTAGTGGATCACCTACTTTGGAGGTAATATTTACGTCAGGTCTAACAGTTGTTTAATTGTGGGGAGTTCCGGGTTGACAGCAATGAACACTAAGCCTCTTCTTTTCTAAATAACTCTGACGTGAGAGTTTCCCTGTAAGAATTAAACCATAACAGTTGACATCTTAGATATACTCTCTTAGAAGTTTTTAAGGAATTAATCAGTATCCCTGAATGCAGTCAGCTCCGGGATTCTGGCAGGGTTGAATTTCTGAGCAATGAGGATAATGCACCTGACATTAGCAGGGATGGAATTGTCTGGGGGACCAGCTGGCCTTCTCCAGCCCTTCATGGTTGGCTGTGGGCTCTTTACTTTGGACTCATGTAAGCATCTTGGTGAAAAGGATAAAAAGTTAACATTTTTAAAAAGTTCAGTGGCAGTTTTTAGTGCCACATGTAAGGAGCTTGGCAGTTGCCATCTGTCCTATCAACAAGTAAAAAGCAGAACAACTGAAAAAGCAACAACTTTTCTTGGATCTGTAAGAAAGGGGAGGATTCAGGGCAGACTGCTGCCCTAAGATTGAGTCAGACAGGTTACGAGGAGGCATGGGTTCCCAGAATCCCAGAGATTCATGAGTGGAGGCGACTCCAGAAACCAATTCCAGATAGGAAAACCTGAACGATGACTGATGAATTGCAGGGCGCCTGGGTGGCTCAGTTGTTAAGTGTCTGCCTTCGGCTCAGGTCATGATCCCAGGGTCCTGGGATCGAGCTCCACATTGGGCTCTCTGCTTGGCGGGAAGCCTGCTTCCTCCTCTCTCTCTGCCTGCCTCTCTGCCTGCTTATGATCTCTGTCTGTCAAATAAATAAATAAAATCTTTAAAAAAATGGAATAAATGAAGGTAAAATGAAAAGTTTTATTTTTTTAATCTAACAGTTGACAGTTTGTTCAAAATAACAGCAACAATGTATTTGGAAACATAGTTGATACACAGTAGACTCTTGAAAATATGGAGGTTAAGGGGACTGACCCTGGCATACTGAAAATCCATGCATAACTTTTGAGTTCCCCAAAACTTAATTACTCATAGCCTACTGTTGACTGGAAGGCTTACCAATAATATAAACAGTCAGTTAACACATAGATATTTTGTATGTTGTATATATTATGTACTATATTTTTTACAATAAAACTAGAGGAAAATGTTAAGAAAATTATAACAGAAAATAGATTTACAGTACTATACTGTATTTATGAAAAAAATCCATGTATAGATGGATCTATGTGATTAAAATCTGTGTTGTTCAGGGTTCAACTGTGAGTGTGTGTGTGTGTGTGTGTGTGTGTGTGTGTTTGCTTATGTATGCTTATATATAAGTAAAATGACAGCAATGATAGGTGAAGAAAAGAATTAGGATTATTTTGTTATTATATGAAGTGTGTACACTACCCATGAAGGAATATAATGTTATTTGAAAGTGGACTTGGATTAGTTTTAAATATATATTGCAAGGTCTGGAGCAACCACTAAAAAAAGCAACCACTAAAAAAAAAAAAAACACTAAAAAAAGGATGTATAACTAATAATACGTAATAAAAAAGATAAAGTGAAATCATATAAAATGTTCAACTAAAGCCATAAAAAGCAGAAATATGGTAGAAGACAAAATAAGAACAAAAAACAAGAGCAACAAATAGAAAATGGTAACAAATATGGTAGACTTTATTCCAAATATATCAACAATCACTCTGACCATCAGTGGTCTAAATGCACCAATTAAAAGACAGATATAGTCAGGATGGATCAAAAAACAAGAACCAACTATATATTGTCAATAAGAAATCCACTTTATTTTTTTATTTTATTCAGTTTTAAAATTTTTCAGTATAGTTAACATACAATGTTATATTAGTTTCACTGTACAGTGTAGTGATACAACAGTTCTATACACTACTCATTGTTCAGCATAATAAATGTACTATTTAATCCCCATGATTTATTTCACCCATACCCCCAGCTACCTCCCCTCTGGTAACTACCAATTTGTACTCAACAGTTAAAAGAGTCTATTTCTTGTTCTCTTTCTCTCTCTTTTTTAAAAAGAAACCCACTTTAACTATAAAGACACTTATAGATTCTTTTTAAGATTTTATTTTTAATGTTGGGGCACCTGGGTAGCTCAATGGGTTAAGTCTCTGCCTTCAACTCAGGTCATGATCTCAGGGTCCTGGAGTTGAGCCCCATATTAGGCTCTCTGCTCAGCAGGGAGCCTGCTTCCTTCCCCATCCCCTGCCTTCCTCTCTGCCTGCTTGTGATCTCTGTCTGTCAAATAAATAAATACAATCTTTAAAAAAAATTATTTTTAATGTCTACTCCCAGTGTAGGGCTTGAACTCGCATCCCCAAGATCTAAGAGTTGCTCTATTGACTGAGCCAGCGAGGTGCCCCAAAACACTTATAGATTAAATGGGTGGAGAAAAATACATTATGCCAACACTAATTAAAAGAAAGCTACAGTAGTTATACTAATTTCAAAAGAGCAGACTTCAAAGCAAGGAAGATTATCAGGGATAAAGAGAGGCATTATGTAATGATAAGAGGCTCAGTTCTCCAAAAAGACATACATTCTTTCACGTGTATGCACCTAACAACAGAATGTCAAACTACATAAGGCAAAAACTAATAGAATTACAAGGAGATATGGATGAATCCATTATCATAGTTGGAGACTTTAACACCCTTCCAGCAGAAATGGACACATCTAGCAGGCAACAAATCAGTAAGGGCCTAGTTGAACTCAAAACACCATCAATCAACTGGATGTAATTGATATCTACAGATTACTTTGTCCAACAACAGCAGAATACATATTCTTCTCAAGTTCACATGGAACATTCACCATGATAGACTACATTCTGGGCCATAAAACATAATTTAACAAATGTGAAAGAAAGAAATCATACAGTGTCTGCTCTCAGACCACAATGGAACTAAACCAGAAACTAGTAACAGAAGGGATAACAGAATTCCTGAATATGTAGAGATTAAATGATACGTTTCTAAATAACACAAAGGAGAAAGAAGAAATCTCCACAGAAATTGAAAAATATTTTGAGCTTCATGGAAATGACAATACAGTTTATCAGAATTTGTGGAGTACATTGAAAGCAGTGTTCAGAGGGAAATTTATAGCATTGAGTTTATGTATTAGAAAAGAACTAAAACCAATCATCTAAGCTTTCACCTTAGGAAACTAGGAAAAGAAGAGCAAATTAAATCCAAAGCAAAAGAAAGGAAACAATAAGAATTAGAGCATAAATCAGTGGAATTGATCAAGGAAATCAATAGAAAAAAGTCAGTGAAGCCAAGAGCTGGTTCATCAACAAGATCACTAAAATTGATACCTATAGCTGGGATAACCAAAAAAAAAAAAAAAGAGAGAGGACACAATTTATTAATATCAGAAATGAAAACAAGGACCTCACTACAGATTTTATTGATGTTAAAAACATAAAGGAATACTATGAATAACAATACCTGCAAATTTGGTAACCTAGATGAAAAGACTAATTTCTTGATGGGCACCTGGGCGGCTCAGATGGTTAAGCATCTACCTTTGGCTCAGGTAATGATTTCCAGGTCCTGGGATCAAGCCCCATGTTGGGCTCCTGTGCTCAACATGAAGCCTGCTTCTCCCTCACACTCTGTCTGCTGCTCTCCCTGCTTCTGCTCTCTCTGTCTCTTGTTCTCTCTCAAATGAATAAATAAAATCTTAAAAAAAAA